TATCAGGTAGGAACTCTCTTTTCCCCTTCAAACTTAAACAAGTTTCAAACTTAATAGGTTTTAATGGTTCACAACACATGATTTAATATTGCAACAATTTGATATCGTAGCTGTGTATTGATATATTTGCTCAAATCGTTAATGTAGAAAATATGACTGAAGAGTACCCAATAGTAATTTTTAGACTAATCACGTTTATTTTCTTTCACCTTTTATTCTCTAATGTCCAGATATTTTATTTGATGAGAGTTTGTTGGATGAGAGAGTATCCGCACCACGACATATGAATCCGTAACGTCGACGCCGTAAAATGACTCAATATATGTCATACATTACGATGTAAACATGTCAACGATATACTGCAATATCAGAACTTTCTATTCTACGTAAATATTCCACCAGCAGGAACTCGAAATAGAGCCCTATACTCCATTTAAGCAGGAACTGGTTTATTTTCCATCATACTGTAATGTTAAAAGCTATATTGTACATTGTACGTTACAGATCAAAGTGCAATTAAAGTTTGAAACCGTGAATGCATTAATGTTTACAATTAAGGATGACAGGTACACAATAAAAAACTAAATAAAAAAAACCACTAAATTTATGATCCGGTTCTCACTTATATACAAAAGTGTTTATGTTTGTTCAATTCCCTTCTGAAATAATATTACATAATAAACCATGCGTGCATTTTGGATATGTTTCAAAGGTTTTACTCAATCATTTTGTTCACATTCAAATTCGTTTGAGGTATATATAACATAATATAATTTGTGTTAATTTTGAGATAATTTTAGTGGTTTGTGTAAATAACGACCAAAGTATTGTTGATTTTATATTGTTTACTTTTTTTCCAATTTTGCTCTTTAATTGTTAATCCATCTATTTTGTTTACGCCGTAACAAATGTTTGCCTGGATGAACTAGTGGGATTTGTTATGTCTGCATATTGTATATAAATGAATAGTAATGCCGTAGGCAGAATAAATGCTATTTGTTACGACATACTATGTATATAATATGATGTAATCGTAATTAAAAGAAAAGAATTGCCATTGGTATACAAAATATACATGACATGTTATTTTTTGTCAAACATGTCGAATTATGTCATTTGTGTAAATTTCATTCGATATTATGTGCTCATTTGACTTGATTGCTTACATGATGAAATAAAATCTAGCTCTGTAAGCCTTACAAATCACATCATTACCATATCCAGAGAGTAAAACATGTCATGACGTACAGATTACTATATATCAGTTCTATATAACTTTTATCAAAAAAAGAATTGTACAAATGCAAGTATCATATGTCACTGCATTGGAAGTTACTCTTGAAGACACTTGACCTAATGTTAAGTCAATGAAACTTACAAGATAATTAAGTAAACTCATGACATGTCAATAGCGACAGTATAACGATATCCAAGGGAACGGAGTTAAGACGTTTCTTATTCAAATGAACATTACATGTATAGATTATGAATCAACTCGGGCACATTTTACACCTTTGTGTACATACGCTCCACTGGTCATTCGTCTGATGAAAGTGACAGAGTACATACCGTACTAGCCATCGAAACGTCACATAGAAACACTTATTGGTTGTGTTACAAGAATCCGTTCATAATTCATAATTACCAACCTGAAGAAAATGTTTAGAAACACTACATGTATACTTGTTCTTAGTCAATGTTTTCATAGACACATTAACGTTGGCAGCAAGTATACTTGGTAGGTGTGAAATTATATACTTGAATTACCAGTACTGAAGGGAGCAAATTACTTTTAAATACATTTTAAAAGTGTAAATTTGTTTCATGTAATGGCAAAATCTTTTTATTCTATTCTTAGAAGACTGTTCTATGGATCATTTCAGGGGAGTGAATTTTCGGATTCCTATACTACTGCGAACAACTCTAGCGTGCACCGAGTCTTTGTTTTCAGTATAAACCATCATTTTTTTTTTTAAATCTGAAAACAACGGCAGTAAGGTGAGATCAGCCAAGAGAAGTTTATTAGTTGTATATGTAATGAAAATCAGGGGATGTTACTGCAGGTAAGGAGCACTAAAATATCGTTCGCTAGTGTTTTGTCGCAAGCAGGGGACAGGAATCCTTAATACAGATGAATTTTTTGTTTATTCATGTCTATTACAAACATCCGAGCTATAGACTGAACAGTTATCTTGTTCTATTTTGTAGAACGTGGTCATTTTATGTGACAATTTGATTTGTTTGAGTTAAATTAATGAGAGAATGGCTGCAAAACTACATATATCTTACCCATAGTTTTTAAAGGTATAAAAACAAAAAACATTTCACTAATTGAGTTTTTGGTGTAATGTTTTGACATATATTATCGAATGCCACTATTATTGAAATCAGTACAATGCATTAACGCTGTACATATAAGCGAAGACATGACTATCGAGCGGACCCAAGTATGCGATCGGAGTGTTCATGCCAGTGCTTTTTTCAGTGGTTCAGATATTATGGGGTGAATTCAAACTGACTTATTATCATTTAAAGTGCGTTATAAAATAACCATGTCAAGATTTGATGGTCCAAACACATTTGAACAATATATAGTCTGTTAACTCAATAATTTCAACGTTAAAGATTTATTTGCCCTTACCAACTTCTGATACACCCGAGGTATCGACATTAAACCCTTATATATGTTTGTATATATACGGTTATGTGTAGAGTATAAGACAACTGCTATCATTACCAGTATATAAGAACTGTTACGAAGAGAGGTGACCGTCATGCCTCGTTTGTTTTTTGTTTTGAGGCTGTTGTCCAATAAGCTGTGGTGGTATCTCCATCGTTCATTTTGTATCGTCCTGGAAACGGCTGAGGTCGTACCTAGAGGAAATCCATGGATGATAACTCTAAACGGAAAACGTAAGAACGTAAGCAGAGAAAAGATACGTATCCCAAATGTTAATCCGGTAATCTTAATTCTAAAACATATTATAGATCTACTTGTAAAGACAACAGATTAATAGACACCTGCTTCACACTGATGAAGATAACACGAAATCCTAAAAAAATTCACGGAAGTAATACCAAAGCTCAAAAGATGAAGAAGTGTATCATGTACCGCAAGAAATACCCTTGTCTTGGTACTGTCGATTGTAGCACAGTAAACAAGACAGTAATTAAATGTATAACATATTGTTCTTTAATCGTGACAGATCGAGATCCAATCAGTGGATAGCAGGTCAAAGGTGAAGACGTTACATTAACTTGTACGGAAACACAGGTATCTTCAGAATAACCCAGATGGCCTGCATTGTCACACCAGGTCGTACTTTGTTTACATTAACGTCTACTAATGCGGAGGATATTGAGGAGATCTTCTAACAATTATGTTATTGAAAAATGCTGAATAATCAATCATTTATATTATAACAGACGTGACAATATATCTTGTTATATCAACACTGTTACCAGCTTACAGGTATACCGGTCTGTTGAAATAAAGTGAAAATTACTCCGTAAATTCCTAAGATATAAGTATTTTATTAATGACGGAAATCGACACCTCCTAGCTGGAAAACAGGTCAAAGGTGTAAACGGTGTAATGCGTTTGTACGAAATAAACATATCTTAATAGGCCGAATTGTTGACATCAACACAGGTAATGTCAGGTTATCCGCACACCTGTTTATGAGGGCCCATACAAAAAATATACTTATTTTTACTTAATCTGTTGTTTATTTTCGTTATTTGCTGATATTTGAAACATTGAAACAAAAATGCCATTTGAGTACAAAGACAGACAAACACTAAGACATTGTTTGATCTTAGTGGTCAAGCCTCGTTTATCTGACTTGTTGTTGTCTCTATGGTCGAGTTTCGTTTGTCTTTTCTACGCTGGCTGCTGTGATCTACAGTATAGTCGCTCCGGCCCCAGCTATTACCTTTTGTCAGGCCTAATTTCGTTGTTCTAACTTTTTTAGCTGGTTAAACGTTTATAAACTTGTTCCGTAACTCCTGAAAAAAGTATAGAATTAATATTGTCTCAGTTTCTCATTTATCTGATAGCTATATTCTATTCAAATTGGTCTGATGTCTTTGGTCTGGTTCCTTCGTCCAGATCTCATTGACACTGATTCATCAGAATGGTCACCAGTCTCTGTTAGATTATCTTTTTAATTAAAGTAGGTTTGACAATGAATTTATCTTCCTGAATGAAAAAAAAAGGTTCACATTTTGTTAAAGTCATATTATTAAATAACGTAGTTCTATTATTTTTTCTCCTTAAAAATGTTTTTTCTGTACAATACATCAGTATCATTGAAATGTAAACCAATAAATACAACAATTATAAGTGGTTCTGTAATGACTAACAGCACCAGGAGACGATATATAATGACGTCACAGTTCACTTTGTGATTGGATGAAACACGATACATCACCAAGATTACCACAATAGTCTCCTTTTTGGATATTGATTATTTCCCCTGACAAAATGTAAGGAGCCCTTTCCAACAAAAGAAAATTCATGAGATTAAACAAGCAATCTACTGCTTATTTTTATTGCTGTAGCCAAACACTGAAAATTGTTATTGCACTTATTTTGATATAATAGTAACTACTGAATAAGTGTAGCTCTAAATTATCAAATCTATCATTAGTATTTCAAAACCGTCCGTGCTCATTGCTTGAATAAGTGACCTCCGTAATTGTTGACATATTGTATTTAAACCGTTTCTGTTTTTTAATTGATATTTCAAGTTTCGCTATTTCTGCATGAAATACAATGCACTATAACATTATCATTATATGCGAATTCTAAGTTCCCAGTAGGAAGTTTCATTTACTGGAAATGGTGACGGTTCTTACAAAAATGTGATATGTCATGAAGACCTGCGTTAAAAACTTACGTTTTATTACCTCTATGACTCGTCGATACTGACTTCAGATAATAGACGTAAATACCATTCTTATCAGTTGTCACGTGACACTAGCTAAGATATCGACTAGTAACAAGGTATTGTCAGTAAGAGAAGGTCTGTTATGTAAGGAGGTAATAGTTAAAGAAAATGGCAAGTAAGTTATCCAGCCGCTGTGCCAAGGTAGATGTGCCAGACACTTGTGCGTTTTGTGAAAGCATACAGGACATTGACTGGTACTGTAATGACTGTCAGGAGGCTTTGTGTAGCAAATGTAAGGACGGTCATTTACGTTGTAAGAAGACGAGGAATGATGAAGTCGTACCAATAAGGGAGGCGAACAAACTCGGGGAAGCCGTACTCCCAGAGGTATGTAAGACACATCGAGGTAAGGCATGTGACCTGTACTGTAGTGACTGTAACATCGTAATGTGTGCGATGTGTTTTACCGAGAAACATAAACAACACACTTTCAAAAATATTGAAGAGGAAATCGGCTCGCAAAAACAGTACATGCGAGATCAATTAAAAATACTCAAGACAAAATTATACCATTTTGATCATGATCTATCAAAACGTCAAGGTGTGAGCAAATCATTCAAAGACAGTGTAGATGCCGTCCGAGAAACTGTACAAACCCAGAGACTGAAACTTAAAGCAGAGGTTGATTCCATAGCCGACACAATCTTGGTCGAGTTATCGTCCCTGATTGAAGAAGAAGAAAAATCTCACAATCAGTACTGTCAATCTCACGAAAGAAAAATCGAAGACATAAACCAACTGATCAGAGATGTAGAACAGAACACAGAACAGATGTCCTGTACATCCTTGTTTGAGCTGACAGGGAGACTGAGAACCACCATACCACTGTATAATGTTGCTACAAAGAGCGTGTTACCTCGCCCTCCTCACTTCGTGGCTGGAAAATTTGACCAGTACAAGTTGAAGAATATGGTTGGGTATATTCAGGTTGGTGGACTGAAGAAAGAAGTTGACAGTAAAAAGATTCATCAGATTTCCACATTCCGAGTACCGCGAATGCAACAAATCAACTCAATATGTCCTATTGACGACTATAACGCATGGATGTCAGTAAATGCATCTAAAGAATTGTTTAAAGTCAACAAATTCGGCAAAGTCATAGAGTCTGTCAAACTTGACTTTACCCCTTGGTGTCTGACAGTAACTAGCACAGAAGAACTACTGATCACGTGTAATGGTGGTTCACCACTGATACACAAACTATCTAAGGACAGACACGTGGCAATATTTACTGACATCAGTCCGTTAATGGCATTGAGTATCAGTGTCAGCGACAATGATGAGGTGTTCGTTACTACTGACACTACAACAATACAGGTACTGAACATGTCCGGGGAGAGGATCAGACAACTCTCGTGTAGAGGTGATGGGCGGAGTATTGTATGTATGACAACAGGAGATATAGCTATCACCACTGGCACGAGTATGTATCATTGCAATAACGTTTATCACTGTAAAGAAATGATTGTCATCAACAAAACTGATCAGGTCATACAAAATTGGAGTGGGGAACTGGACATTGGTCCGAAGTTAGAAAAGACGAGGCAGTGTGATATAGCTCGTGATAGATATGACAGAGTGTTTGTACCAGACTACAACACTAACCAGGTATACGTCTTCTCGGGGAATGAGAGAAAGGCCAAGTGTCTCCTTGACAAGAAACATGGAGTAATACATCCGCTGGCTGTGTGTGTAGACAGATGTGGACATGTGTGGATCGGCTGTAACAATGGTACAGTACATGTGATGCAACTATAAACAAGTAAGAGGAATAAAACAGATAACATAACAGTATAGTGCCGCAAATTAGCTTTTCACTTTTTTTCCCACAAACTTTCAGTGTAGACATATTTGAATATGATGTTTCATTTGTTTTGTATTAGGTTAGTTTGAGCCATTGACTTGCATGATCGGCTCTAAACATTTGTATTTGTTACGTCTATGATTTGTATTTTTCCATGTGGCGTCATGGTATTGTTTCTTTTGACATTATATCTAAGGTTGATAGAAGAATCACGAAATAGACATTCTGTGTAATGAGGAAGGAAAGGTTTCCCGGTCACCTGATCCGTCAATTCAGCACTGAACAGCTATACTACTAGCGAGTGTAAGAACATTTCTACAAAAGGGACATAACTCCTGTTAACTCCCGACCTTAAATTTGTTCAATGCCACTGACAAGAGAAGGTATTCATTTGTCAACTCATGACATGTTCGTAACGGTGTTATATTGATAGAGTGTTGTTTTGTAATTGAATGATGATATCATTTATATTTCAATAGCAAAGAAGCAACTGGATGCTTATCATATCTATTTAAAAAAAGTATTATTAAATGTGATTCATAAACAGTACTTGCTTCACAAATCGAATTCAATTAAAGGGACATCACGTGAAGAGCCATTTTTTTAATGAATGTATGTAGTGTATGCATTTCCACTTATGTTACCTCGCTATTCCCATATTCATAGTCCGTTCCAAATGTCCAGTTTGACCACTTGAATTGTTCGGGAAAGCCCTGCTAAAATAGCGCCGATGATGTCACCTGACTAGGCAGAAACACAAGTGGTCTGAGCGAGATGAAACGGTTTCCAGAGGGGCCCCCAGAGAGGGGCCGTCAGGCAACTGCAACTTCTAACCGCGCTATGCAACCAAGTAATATGATTTCTAAGTCCGTATTCAAACTTATTGAACAGAAATCATTCATCATCAGAAGTTAATTGCACGCTTGCCAATATTCAGAGTTTAAATCAATTAAGCTTTAAACATATTTGTCGCCAATAAAATTGAACAAGGGATAGGGCATAGTTTTTACAATTTATCACAGCCTTCTCCCGTCATACATTTACAATTAAATGTCAACAATGATAATAGGCATAAACATAGATATTTATAAATATATATATTGAATTTAGTACCGGAATGTGACCGGTACAGATGATACGGGGCTAAACACCTTCCCTACACCAAGGGACAAACCTTTCTGATTTTTTTTCATGTATTGCCGGGGCAGAGGAGGCCAGGTATTCATATAAGTACTAATTTAAATCTTGAATGTAAAAACAAAAGTAATCGTTTAATTCAGCAATACAGTTAAATCATACCATTTTACTGAACCCGGTAATATTATAAATTATGTAAATCTAATAGCGCACGTATCTCGATGACCAAGGAAATACGCCGTGGGCCATCACAACAGTTATCCCTTGGAGGGCCTTATGGCAAAATCAAACTAACCAGTCACTTATCTCTTCCTTTCCCATAAACCACTGTATAATTATAGAAACACAAAGTAAACTCTCTCCGATACATGTTCATTAACATATTAAACTAAGTTCATCTGTGTTCAAACTCAGACAAATATACTAGCGAGCTTCATAGTTTTAGATATTTATTCATAACATAAACAGCGCTAGCATTTCTGTCGATTCCATTTCAGCTTAACCGGCAATCCGGAAGAATATATGCACCGTACTAACTGCTAGGGCAGTTATTTTCTCCTTTGAATACTGCCCACCTGCAATAATGATTCCGTAACGTACTCATTGCGCTATCTTTTGACCATTTGGCAACTTTTCGTTTCGTAGCTGACACGGTACAACACTTTTCTTTCGCTTACTTCACACGGCCAGTCATTTTGCTTACAAAAAAATGGTGTGCTATGGGCATACGCTAATAGAGGGAAATCCCTGAATAAAACGTTAGTCAGACAGGTAGAAATACCGATGATTTTCATAGATTTAATCATTTCTATGAATCAATTTCAGCCAAATCCGATCGTTATTTTCCATCAGGAGTCTCACTTGATATGTTTATGAAGTATTTGAAAAAAAGAAAAAAAAAGCTACTTCACCGTGATGCCCCTTTATTTACACTTTTATGAGGTATTTATTTAAGTACTCTTCCTAAAGCAAACTGGTATTAAGTATCTCTCTTTCAAACTAAAAATGAGCCACCGAGTCTATTATCATATACTCTTCTAAAATATAAACATTTGAGATAACTTACTTAAATATGTAAATGACTTTTTCAAATTATAACATATTGTATACTCAATGGAAGTTGTGATGTTGTGACGTAGCGATATCGTATCATAGCGTATATCTTAATCTCGTTGATTTTTTACAGTCAAACATGTTATATTGAAACAAATCCTTATACTCATTACTCAAACTAGTTCAAAAGTGTAAACAGTAAAGCACAGTTCTACTGTTTCAGTATATGGATTTATCAATCAAAAACACATTTGATCACTATAAAGTTCACCGTTTTAATTTTCAAGCACTGTTATGTTTTGCTTAATGAGAGTATGATGGCTGAGAATATCGCCGCACTAGTCGGAACATTTTTCGTATGTACATTGTAAATAAAAAAAGTAATTTCCATCGATTGAATTTGTGTTGTCATTACTATCAGCGAATACCGATAAGCTAGTGAAAGGGTTCAAGATCAGATTAATTATATGGAATTAATGTATCCCGACCGAATATAGAACATGCATTATTTTAAATAAAATAGGTTAATACATTAAGCTTTGACATTTGACTGTATGTCATCAACACAGATATAGACATGTTACCTGTACACCTTTTTACGAGGGAAGTACTAAAACACGGACTTATCATTTTTATTTGATCTGTTTGTCATTGCAGTCTTTTGCTTTTTTTTCATTTGTGTTACATGAAAACACAGAATCTAGGTTTGAGCATGAAAACGGTATCATGAATAAAGACTCTGGTTTTACTTTCTGGAACTGTCCCATTGTTTCTTATCATATTTTGTAGATGGTTTTAACATGCCGGCACAACTCACTCGGAAAGTGGGATTTCATGAAAGTGGAATTCACCAACAAAGGGATTTATGTCATTAACATAAGTAACATCCTATATCAAATGTCCGTCCGCATTAACATACAACGGTACTTCAGATACAAAAGTACCCTATCAATTTCCTACAGTTATTCTAAACCCATTAATTCAAACATTTCAGATACAAGTACACGCTAAAGCAGCTGAATTTAGATGATCTAAGAATGAGTCCTCCTTCAGGATTTGTGTTTTGCTCCACGTCCAAATGCTACTATGGTCTGGCTGGACATGAAATCACTGGTAACTGGTAATACCTTATTTACTCATTTATTCGAAACGCTCCAAAAACAGACGCTACAGCAGTTGGATTTTATTGACCTTACATCGACTTCTCCTTTAGCATGATCTTCCTTCACGTTCCTATAGTGATGTGGTTCTGCTGGATATGTAGACACAGGAACTATTGATTGTATACATAACGTAAAGATACGACAGTTCTTCGTGAAGGATCCTCAGTATCGGGTTACTCCTTCCATGAATTGGAATGTGCATTTCAAGATACGTCTTAAATATGTTGACAATTACGCCATACAACAGGCAACACGAGAACATGCTGATTTGGAATCACTTTCAGAACGAGTCAAATCTGTCAAGTCCATCATTCCAAAAAATATCTGCAAACACTAGTACATTGCAATGCAGACCTAGGCCTGCTAGATCAACAACGCAATTCAACCTATACATTTTCTAAATTATTCGGAAGACAAAATACTAGCAAATCACGACTCTTAACACTCAACATTGATACAATATATACATATACACTGGAGAAAACATATGTAAATAATCGACTACCAACTAAAAGGTCATCTTACTAAAAATAATAAACAACCTATTACCAGGACTACCAGTGTATATATGTACAAAGAGATAACTGTCATTGTGTAAATTGTATTTCTAACCCAAGGAAGACAACTCTTACAATGTACCAGGATCAAAGTGATTAAAAATGCAAAATGAATTAATTATAAAGCCATTGTGTATATTTTGTTCAATATGCCACCCTTTATGAATGAATCTTTGTGACCTTTATGCTTCTAGCTTGTAGTTAATCACTTTTATCCATACAATTTCAATGATAAAAAACTTTGTATAACGCGTTTTATATATTTTGCGATAGATAAAATATTTATAGAGTTAATAAGCAATGCTTATTTTCCTTTTTTATTGTTGTTATTGTTCCGAACATTGCCATACATCGAAAAAACGGAAACTAATAAAATTGACGAAAACTCAATTTTTTGGTATTTTCCCAAAAAAGACCCCAAACTATCGGAATGCTTAGATTTTCATGAATTCAACTCTTCATATTTGCATAATCATTATATACGAAAGTTTCAAGGAATCGTGCCGGTTAATTGCCGAAGTGTGGAGCCTCCTTAAATGGCGTAGCGATCATATTCTGTCATGGCATGGCAAGTAAAATACATGAGAAAACAATTTGTCATCTGATCTAAGCATAAATATATAGTCTAACAAAATGAAGCTTAATAATCGTTATCGGTAGGTTTGGAAGATAATTTTCATTTGTTAAAAAGGAAGAAGTTAAACAAACAACCAATAAAAATTCAGAAGCCTTCGATCATGGAACTCTGACCTTGATAAAATCATTTTTATTGTTAACAGCATAACTTATATTGGTTTGTTGGTTTGTTGCCTTGTTTTTGAAGTGCATTGCAAAATATCAAACGTACATTATATCAAATCGATAAAACAAACAAGATTGCTGCGTTGTTTAATAAAAATGCATGCCAAATGTATCTGTCGTTCACCACCAAACAAGTATTAGCCCTTATCACTAGCATTGTGACTTGAACATCTGTTAAAGGAGTGCTTTAACATTGGTAAAAATGTCTCAGTTTTTTCTTGTCATAAATCTGTCAAGAACAGTCGTTAAAATATCACCACATGCTTTTGTCACTGAGAAAACTTCTTCTGTCTGCCATATTTATAAAATATCCGCGAATCAGAATATATCCATGTGGATCATTCTTATCAGCTGTTACCTGACTGCAAACAAAGAAATTGATCATCATGTCTAGGAAGAACAGACGAAGCAAAGTGTAAATAGGGATTTGTTAACTTAGAATGCTGTAAGGATCAAAACGGGACAATATACCACATAGCAGTTGTCAGGTGCCATGACGACAGGTGTGTGGTGTGGTATTATGTAGGACAATTAATGGTTCTATGACGACTAATTACACCAGAAGACGATATATAATGACAACCTAATGCACTCTATGATTCGATGATAAACGGTAAATCACCAGGACAAACGAAGTATTCTCCTTATTGATTCAACCCATTAAATGGTTTGTTGAAAACGAATAATATTTGATGGTACCAAACGATTGGCTTGTCTTGTAAATTTTTGATGTTGGATAATCTCATGGATTTCTTAAACATTGACCTTTGCCCCGAAATATTTCTGCTTTATTAACAGATCTTAACTAATACAAATGGTATTAACATAAAACAATTAGTCGGGGCTTATTACGGCCTTGAGCAATTTAACACCCGGTCAACTACCATCATGGGAAGTTATTTAAACTATATCATTTTTTTGGAGATTTTAAAGCGTTTTCTTGCCATGATCTCAGGAACTGGCTCAAGGTGACCGGTGCATGAACGATCAATTACGATAAAGCGTTTGTGTACAATCGAGTGCAGGGCCTGAGTGGATTGATTCAAAAATTACTTAACAAGGCAGGCAGTGAGATGGTGACATTCTTTGCTGATGTATGATGCTTGGCATCTTGGCGGTTTGAATACGAATATGGATGACAAGGAAAGCTCTTGAGAGTTTAGGGTTGGAACTAACATATGATGAATGTATTTTGGGCGCCGAAAGACAAAAGTTGACAAATAAGGTTCAAATTCTGGACAACGTGATTGGTGACGTCATACTTCAGATTAAGTTCGTTTTTTGCAATGTAGATAGCAATATATTGGGAAGAAAACTCTCGCTACGTAATTCATCTGTCAACAGCATAGCTATAACCACAATTCCTGATGTATATAACAGGCTCTCCAAAATAATAATATAAATATTAATTGTTTCGTAATTGTGGAAGAATCAATAAAGTTTATATAAATAGGCTCCAAAGTAGTGAATCAACAGTGCTTCATACACTTCATAACATGCCAATCACGTGGACGTGGTAACGTCTGTTTAGTTTCATGACTCTGCGTTGGTCCTGTCATAAATTACATACATGTCTCTATTTAAATACCACTTAATAAGAACGATGTTTAATGTGCACATTCATATCATCTTCAAAAACACGTTACCGTCATAGTGATATTTGCGCCCTTGGTAGAGGTTTAAATGAGTAGTCCTATAGCGTAAACATTCACAGTTGTCAGTGTACCAAAGCAACAATAGGCAAGATGTATATCTAGAGCAAGCAAACTTGTATGTACAAAGTAGCCAGAAATATACAATACAATGCATACGGTCAATTGTTTCAGTTTTAAGATATTGCTGCACTTTCCTTGCACGATGTGGACGTGCATTATCATATAGCATATAGACAAATAATAGAATGCAGGATCTTATCTCTGTATTGCTGACCAGTCATCGTTCCATTTCTGATGATTCACTGGCATTAGTCCGTTAGAAGCCTGGGGTATCAGTGTCAGTGACAGTGACGAGGTGTTCGTTATTACTCACATTACAACAGCACAGGTACTGAACATAGCCGAGGGAGGATCAGACAAATCTCGTGTGGGGTGATGGGCTGAGTATCGTATGTTTGACAACAGGACAATTATGTGTTAACATTGGCAAACATATCATTTCTTGTAAACAAATGATTGTCATCACAAAATTAGACCAAGTCACACGCAGATGGAGTGGGGAACTGGACAATGGTCAGAAAATAAAACAGACGGGGCAATGCTATATAGCACGTGATAGATATGCCGAGTGTTTGTATCAGACAAAAAATCAGAACAAGTATACGTCATCTCAGGAAATGACTAAGTGTCTTCTCGACGAGAAGCATGGAGTAAAAGGTGTTTGTACAGTGTGTGTTGACAGGTGTGGACATATTTGTGTCGGTTGTGTAAATGGTGATGGAACAAAATATAACATTACATTTTTAACATTTGTTGAAGTGTCGTATGCTTAAGTTTAACATGAGCTTGTTTGTATTTCATCACAATATGATAAAACAAAATATTCCGCGTATTATCTTCAGTATATGTTGCCAGATAATTGTTTTAAGTTTCGCTGTTTCTGCATGATACACAAAGTAGTATATTACTATGTGTAAATTCTTAGTTCCAAGTATGAACATTACTGATAATAGTGGCGTAATTACATGAAAAAGTGAAATGTCATGAAAACCTGCCATACACAATTACATTGATCACTTATTATGATTCCGTCAAAACTTTGTTGACTTTAGATAAATTACGTAAATACCATTCTTATCAGTTGTCACGTAACGCTAGCTATACAACCGACTAGTCCTCCAAGCATTGTCAGTAAGAGTAAATTTGTTATGTAAGAAGGAAGTAGTTAAAGCAAATGGCAAGTAAATTATCCATCCGCCGCGGCCAGGTTCACGTGCCCGAAACCTGTGCTTGGTGTGAAAGCATACAGGAAGTTAACTGGTTTTGTAATGACTGCCAGGAGGCTTTGTGTGACAAATGTAAGGACGGCCACCAACGTGGGAAGAAGACACGGAATGATGACGTCGTGCCAATAAGGGAGGCTAACAAACAAGATCAAGTAGTACTACCAGAGGTATGTAAGATACATCGAGGTAAGGCTTGTGACTTGTACTGTAGTGACTGTGACATTGTGATGTGTACGATGTGTTTTACCGAGACACATAAACAACACACTTTCAAAAATATTAAGGAGGAAATTGACTCGCAAAAACATTACATGCAAGATCAATTAAAAATACTCAAGTCCAAGTTAGACCATTTTGATGATAATCTATCAAAGCGTCATGAAGTGAGCAAGTCATTCATAGAGAGCGTGGCTGTCATCCGACACCAAGTACTTACTCAGAGACAGAAACTGAAAGCACAGGTTGACTCCATAGCTGATACATTCTTGATCGAGTTATCGTCATTGATTGAAGAAGAAGAAATACTTCTCAAACAGGAATGTCAACCCAACGAAAATTATATCAAAGAGATAAAGCAACTGATCAGAGATGTAGAGCAGAACACAGACACAATGTCTAGTACATCCTTGTTTGAGCTGACGGGGAGACTGAGAACCACCATACCGCTCTATTATGTTGCTACAAAGAGCGTGTTACCTTACCCACCTCACTTCGTGTTTGGAACATTTAACGCAGATCAGTTGAAGTCAATGATTGGATATCTTCAGGTCGACAAATTGAAAACTGAAGACATCAGATATAAGAAGAAAGAGGTTGACAGTAAAAAGGTTAGTCAGAATTCTACATTCCGAGAACGAAAGCAAACACAAATCAACTCGATATGTCCTATTGACGATAATCACGCATGGATGTCAGTACGTGGATCTACAGAGGTGATCAAAGTTAACAAGAACGGCAAGGTCACAGAGTCCGTCAGCCTTGACTTCAGCCCGTGGTTTCTGAAAGTGACTGACACGAAAGAACTACTGACCACGTGTGGTTCATCAGTGATACATAAAATATCAAAGAACAGACGAGTGACCAGATTTACTGACATCAGTCCGCTTAAAGCTTGTGGTATCAGTGTCAGTGACAGTGACGAGGTGTTCGTTACTACTCACACTGCAACAATACAGGTACTGAACATGTACGGGGAGAGAATCAGACAAATATCGTGTGGAGGTGATGGGCTGAGTATCGTATGTTTGACAACAGGAAAAATAGCTGTTACCACTGGCGCGAATATTTATTATTGTAAAGAAATGATTGTCATCAACAAATCTGATCAGGTTATACATAAGTGGAGTGGGGAACTAGACAATGGTCAGAAGTTAGAAGAGACGGTGCAATGTAATATAGCAAGTGATAGATATGACAGAGTGTATGTACCAGACATGAACACTGGCCAGGTATACGTCCTGTCGGTGAATGACAAAAAGGCCAAGTGTCTCCTTGACAAGAAACATGGAGTAAAACTTCCAACGGCTGTGTGTATAGACAGGTGTGGACATGTTTGGATCGGCTGTGAGAATGGCACTGTGCATGTGATGGCACTATGAACAAATAAGACTGTTTGGACATTAAATAACATTACCTTACAGTGGTTATACCAATTGTATAGCTCCTATCCGCTGACGCCGCAATGTTACCCGAATATTTCATCTGCACTGTAAAAATGTCACCGGTACATAAAAAATGCTATAGTGTCGTATGCGCAAGTTTAATATGATCCTGTTTGTATTAATTATAATATGATAAAAAAAAATCATTTTGCATAACAGATAACGGTGTGACTATGATTTTGAGATTTGTTTATATCAAAGTTCTCCTTTAAAAAAAATATGGATGAAAGGTAAATTATCAAATTTCATATTTTAAACAAATTGATATCAAATACATTTACATCTCGACAATGAGCCTGATTGGAAAATAGGCCTACCTTAAAAATAAGACTTGGTTACCTTACAGCTACACATATTTCAATAATAAACCATCTTTAGGAAATAGGCCTGTCTGGACTAGAAACGTTGAATTTTAAGTAGGAACCACCTTTTCTCCTTGTCGACCTAAACAAGATTCAAACTAAACAGGTTAAAATGATTCAAATCACGTGATACAATATTACAACAATATTATATATCAGATTTGTATTGATACATTTGCTAAAATCGTTAATGTAGAAAATATGGTGAAGAGTACCCTATAGTTCTATTATTGTAGAACATGTACATACAAACAATCTATAGACTAAACACGTTTATTCTCTTTCACCTTCCGTTTATTTAATGTCCCGAATTTTAATTTGATGAGAGTTGGTGGGATGAGAGAGTTTTCCGCACTACGACATAAAAATACGTAACGACGACGCCGTAAAATGACTCAATATATGTCATATATTACGATGTAAACATGTCAACTATAAAGATTCTGTCTGGTTTACTGCAATATCAGAACTTCTATTTTCCATCAATATGTCATCAGCAGGAAATCGACATAGAAACCCTATACTCAAATTTAGCAGAAACTGGTTTGTTTTCCATCATACTGTAATGTTAACAGTTATATTGTACATTTGGCACATACAGATCACAGTGCAATTATAGTTTGAAACCGTGAATATATAAATAATCATAATTAAGGATGACAGGAAAACAATAAAGTTTCATTTTTTAATTCAATTAATCAAGTATAATCTTGTATTATGGTGCATGGACCGTTTTTCATTTATAAAAAAATATTTATAATAGTTCAATTCCTTTATGAAATAATATTACATAATAAACCATGCGGATAAGTTTTAAAGGTTTTACTTAATCATTTTGTTCACATTCAAATCAATTTGTGAAATATTACATAATCCAATGTGTGTGCACTTTAAGATAGTATTAGTGGCGGTGGTTGGTGTAAATAACGACCAAAGTATGTTGATTTTGCTGTTTTATTGTTTATCCATTTAATTTGTTTACACCTGCCTGAAGTAGAGGAATTTTCTATTTTTACATTTGTATATACATGAATAGAAACGCCGTAGACATAATAATTGCTATTTATTTTTAAGAATATTATGTATGTATTAAGATGTCATTTGATACAAAAGAAAAAGAACTGCCATCGGTTAACGAAATGCACATGACATGTTATTTGAGAATATTGTAGTCGATAAACGATGTTGAACTGACTTAGTGTTCCATTGCTCCTGTATACGACTGCTGTGTCTTACGATATGATGTCAAATGTAGCTTTGACATATGAATAATTCTACAGCTAGATTATCACAGCACACATGTCGAATCATGTCATTTGTGTCAATTTAAGTCGGTATCATTTGCTCTATGACTTGATTGCTTACATAATGAAATCAAATCTAGCTATATATACCACAAACCTTACAAATAGCATCAATACCATATCCAGAGAGTAAAACATTTCATGACGTATAAATTACTCCACATACAAAGTTATCACGTCACACACGGCAAATTAGTTTTATATAACCTTTATAAAAACAAAATTGTACAAATGCAGGTATCATGTGTCACTGCATTGGAAGTTACTCTTGAAGACACTTGAATTAATGTAAAGTCAATAATTACATCAATTCATGACATGTCCATAATAACAATAACGATATCCAAGGGAACGGAGTTAAGGCGTTTCTTATTCAAATGGACATTGCATGTATAAATTATGAAACAACTCGGGCACATTTTACACCTTTGTGTACATACGCTCCATTGGTCATTCGTCTGATGAAGGTGACAGAGATCATACCGTACTAGTCATCGAAACGTCACATAGAAACACTTATTGGTTGTGTTACAAGAACCGTTCATAAAGCATACTTACCAACCTGACGGAAATGTTTAGAAACATTACATGTAGACTTGTTCTTAGTCAATGTTTTCATAGACACATAAACGTTGGCAGCAGGTGTACTTGGTAGGTGTGAAATTATATACTTTAATTACCAGTACTGAAGGGAGCAAATTATTACTTTTAAATTAATTTTGAACGTGTTAATATTTATAATTTAATTTATTATTGATACAAATAATATGGTTGGAGAGCACAGTGTAGTTCTATAAGACCTTTCTCATTTTGAGGTAAACCTAGCACGGAGCGTGAAATTAGAGAAGCAAATACAGGGGTCATTTCAAAAAGAATTGTATATGAAACGTAGCGTATAGGGTATGTCAGAGTGTGTACACACGCATGTACGTGACTACAGGTAAGCGAACAGGTTACATTATATTACGACACAGATAAGAAATTATGTAATCGGTAACCACAGTCGTTACAGTCTTTTTCGTGGCTTGATGCGGCAGGTATGTGACCGTGGTTATTGGTATTTCCATATCTCCGTTAAGGATCTCACCTCGGACATATGTTGTATTTTTCTGACGCCGACTGAGTTAAAAGAAATTCCCCGAGCCAAAAAAATCAGTTGGAAGAAGTTTGTATTTTACGAGAATGACAGGGATCACAAACTTCTTTGGACACGATATTTCCATATTACGAAAGAAATGTTTAAAGCTTACACGGTGTCTTTTTAAAAAAGCGTAAAGCTGAAGGTACGTGTTACACATATTTTCTTCACTTCATTCTTTTGCATTTTTGTATAGGGGTGGTTGGACAGCATCCCTTTGTGGCAAAGTAACGTTCATGAATGTTCCTTCGCAACAGTAACATGATGGCGATGAAGCGACCTTTATTGTTCTGTCATCTGCTTAAACACTTGATAAGCTACACTATTAGCCATAAAAGGAGTGCTTTTCTTTATTGACATATGTTCTTGTTTATTCTCCTGAAAAATAACAACAGAAGAAAACCCTAATATATGTTTGTATATATACGGTTATGTGTAGAGTATCAGACAACTGCTATCATTACCAGTATATAAGAACTGTTACGAAGAGAGGTGACCGTCATGCCTCGTTTGTTTTTAGTTTTGAGGCTATTGTCCGATAAGCTGTGGTAGTATCTCCATCGTTCATTTTGTATCGTCCTGGAAACGGCTGAGGTCGTAACAAGAGGAAATCCATGGATGATAACTCTAAACGGAAAACGTAAGAACGTAAGCAAAGAAAAGATACATATCCCATATGTTAATCTGGTAATCTTTATTCCAAAACATAATATAGATCTACTTGTAAAGACAACATCTCAATAGACACCTGTTCACACTGATGAAGACAACACGAATCCCTAAAAAATCCAGGAGCAATACCAAACACCAAATGCTCAAAAGAGGAAGAAGTGTATCCTGTACCGCATGAAATCCCCATGGCTTGGTACTGGCGATTGTAACACAGTAAGCAAGACAGTCAATAAATGTATGAAATATTGTTCTTTAATCGTGACAGATCGAGATCCAATTATCAAATAGTCACAAATTAACCACAACACAACAATTTCAATTAATTTTATTTTTGATACTAATGTCTTGGCAAGTTATTGTCGTGGTATATATATATATATATATATATGTATAAGAATATTTTGGAGTGACCAGTGGGAACAAAGAATCACCCAAATTAACTTTCTAGCTAACTATAAAATTGATATGCATCATTTTATCATTGAACTGTGCGAAAGAAACAGGTGATTTGAAATTTTAATCCAAAAGCTGGATAACAATCTAGCTCCGCCACCAACCTAAAAATAGGTGGGGGAAATGAAAGAGAACATGTTTCGTCATTCGAAAATATCATACCGTTGTTAATTCACTCAGAACCTAAAATGTTGTATTGCACCAAAATGTCGACAATAACATGCCAATACTCAAATCAATGATTAATCCAGGATCCATACACACCAAAAATTACCAACTTGATTGGCCAGAATTGTGACCGACCTTTCCAGAGGTTTGTAGGTGGCAACTACAATCAAGCATCCAACATCACATATATAAAAATCATCATCATTTCTATGGGTCCTATGTCCATTAAAACACATATGCTCACTTCATCAGTGACCAAACACGTCGCTCAAGTCTGCGACCCAAATACTCAACAAGTTGTCACTTCATCAGTGACCAAACATGTCGCAAAAGTTTGCAACCCATATGCAAGTTGACATTTCGACTGTAACCAAATGAAACACATACAATGAAAATACTATGTCAGTTACAATAATTAACAATACACTACTAGTGCCAAAGGAGCTGTAGGTCAGGCCTCAAAAATAAGCAATCTGAAAAGAAAAAAATCGTTCCCGAACTTACTCAGATGGGTACAATCGGAAAACAATTGTTTTCCTTAAGCGAACCCTTACTGACCCTGAACCAATATCGTTCCCTCCACAGTGTATTACCAGGACTTTTGGGAGATCCTCCATGGTTATGAGATGAACTATTGTAGGGTTTACTCTCTTCCAAGTCATGCCACTGTAACCTTGCCACTGTTGCGCCGAATCGTCTCAAACACAAATCTGGCGCATCTTGAAAATCACTTCATCGGGAATGGATAAACCCTCGCTTGACGATCGAGGATCCCACACCCTCCTATATGAACCTGAAAACTTTAGGCTTACTTAGTCCTGTTTAACACCATAAACTGAACAATACAATAGCTTACCATAAACATCCTAATTAATGAAAATTGCAGCAATACTACTCTTGGAATACGAATGTGAGTGTCGAATGCGTTTGATGTCCAACGACCATAAGACTTAAGCTCTTCATCTGTCACTGAATTCATATAAGCTGTGGTGGCTGCCCCAACCCGAAAAAAATTGGAATTATACTAAGATGAATCCATACATAAGTAAGAAATAGCTATTTTATGAACAGCGCAAAACTGGTACCTGTTAAGAGGCTTTCCATCTTCATGGCATAATAATTCACATGTACTGTAGATGAGTTGCTCATAACACATAACAGGAGATGTTCTCCCTTCTCTTGCTTCTGATCAGTTTTAGATGACTTCAGACCCAATGCAAGTGACTTGCTTAAACCTTCATTCAATAATAGCACATTGCTGGCTGGCAATCCATGTTCTGCAGGAGTTGCTACTAATTCTTCAACCCCCCCAAAAACGTAAAAAGCCAGTGAATAGGCAAGACTAAATAATTATGCCTCATACTAGGTTTTACATACCACTTGTAACTTTGTTATCATTCTATACAGAATGCTAGGGGTAATGGGTAATCGAACATCAAAGGAATGCTTGGAACGACTGAAGCCTTGTAGTAGCTTCCTAACCAAATTATTCTGTGTTGGGTCAAGAACACCTAAAATCTTGCATTCATAGGCAACTGCTGACACATATGAACGAAAAGAACTAACCGCAAAGCCATAAAGAGATAATTATGATAAAAAATTTACCACATCAGACACCTCTGGTGGCCAAACTAACCAAACGNCGTTGGGTCAAGAACACCTAAAATCTTGCATTCATAGGCAACTGCTGACACATATGAACGAAAAGAACTAACCACAAAGCCATAAAGAGATAAATATGATACAAAATTTACCACATCAGACACCTCTGGTGGCCAAACTAACCAAACGCCATATTCTGCCCGAAAAGCCTCAAACCTCTGCACCCCAGTATCATACAACTTCTTAGTGCTAGCTGTCAGGGAGCTGTCAAGCAGCCTTACACTTTCGTTTCGCAAATCAACCTCTGAAATGCCTCCGTGACAGGGGATGGATTCTCGTCTGCTCCTGGAGCCAACTGTCGGAAATGGAGCCACTGTTGAC